GGCGGCGGCGGGGCCCGATGGCGAGACCCGGCTCTGCGTGCCCTCCGCCCGCCCGCCGGGTGATGGTGGCCGCCCGGGCGCTGCTCTTCTGGGCGCTGGTTTACAGCTACTGCGGGGTGTGCGCCTGCATCGCCGGGCTGCGGCTGCTGTGGAGCATCGGCCGGCGGCCGGGCGAGACCTTCCGCTGGGTGGTGCGGGAGAACCCCCCCGCCTGCCTCAACGACCCCTCCCTGGGCACCCACTGCTACGTCCGCATCAAGGTGAGGGCGCGGGCGGGGGGAGCGGGCCCCGCTGGGCGCGCAGGCACCCACCCCCAAGCCGTGCATGGCAGCCCTGCCAGCCCGGCGTGCGCTGTGCATGGCATTCCTGCCCTCCCTGCCGTGCGGGGTGTGCGGCCAGCCCGGCCGCCCTGCCGTGCGTGCTCGCAGAGCTGCGCGCATGCAGCGCCTGCCTGCCCTGCCCCGGGAGCGGTGCCGTGCCCGGCCCGGCTGCGGGGCCTCAGGCCGGGAGGACGCCGTGTCCGGCTGGCCCGGGTGCGGAGCCCTGGGTGGGCGGTGAGGGGTTCGCCGGCCCCGGGTTTGCCGCAGCTCTCCGCTCCCTGCACCGCCTCTGCTCTCTCTGCTCTTTACGGTTTGCCCGGTTGCACCGGGAGCTCGTTTCGTGCATCGCTGTCACAGGGAGATCGTAGAGCAAGAAGCTAATTGCTGTCCCTCATGTTGTACAGTTTAAGCCACCGGTCAATTTCTGTACTTGTCTCAGGTCTCTACCTGTGATTTGCTCCTTTACCGAATGCTGTAAATGAGGTTGTATTAGCTAGGTTTCTTTTGCAATTGTAGGTGAGCAGAGAATGAACAGCAAGTTTTGTCAAGTGCTATTTTTCATAAAATAAGCACAAAGATCTCTGTTCCCAGGGTTCTGTGCCGATGGTTTTGTGCCAGGCAGTACTATTATAAATTAGTGAGCCTCAGTTTGTCATGATTTGCTTGTTTTCTTTTGCTAACATCATTAGGAGGCATGTGTGGGCTTTTTCACTCATATGACATGTTCTTTTTTGCCTGTAGCACAAAGCAGTAAATGAACAGGCTGCTGGGGAAGTGAGAGAGGTATGACAGTAATAGAAGAGCATTTGGAGGCAAATCGACTTGCTGTCAATATGACAGTTGATCACTCATTTCAGGAAATAAGAAGCTCTTGCTGTTAGATATCAGCAGGCTAATGGATTACTTTCCAACATATATCCTATAAATCCATTCAGATTTCAATAAAATAGTCAGTGTTGGAAAAGGTGGCAACATCCTATGTCTGTTCTGGGGGGCAGATAAAAGGAAACAGCAGCAATTGAAAAGTCAAGGATGGGCTTAGTTTGGGCCATGTGATATTTAAACTGCTGCTGAACAAGTGGGGATAGAATTTTCAGGAGTAAAGGGCAGTTCCTTAAAAGCAACAAAGAGATTAAAATAAAAACATGGAGGGTAAATCCAAAGAGGACACTAACTGAAAGAAGCAGCATGGAGGAGGGCTTATCCATTAATCGCTAAATGAGAAACTGTGGAAGGAGACTGAGAAACTTCTGCTTTTTTAAATATGAAAGGATCAAAGGCAGAGTGATCTGGAGAATAATACAGATGATGTAATGGCCCCAAAATTTACTAGGAATTTACTTTTACCTCTAGGGACTTCAAGTTCATTGGCATCCCAGAGGTGAAATATCAGTGTAATTAGGGGCAAAACTGAGAAAAGGTCCCTATTATATCCAGAGCAAGTATAAAAAAATCCAAATAGTTCCCTCTTCAGAGCCCTTTCAAGAATGAGAATATAAGTTTACGGTTTTGCAGCTCCTTAGTGACTTATGAGTGTCAAGACATCTCAGAGCATTTGAAGCATCTTTGGCAAGAAAACCTTTTTTGTATGCATTTGTGATCCTTGCCCTGATATTAGCTCTGGATGCACAGCAAAGGCATGGGGTTTTTCTTTCTTTTTTGAAACAGCAGAGACAGCACAGGCTTTGAGATTTGTTCAGGAGCTGTACAACCCTTCTTCCTGCAGTTTCTTTCACATGACTTCTAAACAGTACATTGTGAGCTAACTCCCAACTTCTGTATTCACTTCTGTGTCAGAATTCAGTAAAAACCTCTAGGACATAATCACAGTTTATTTAAATTCTACTGGATTTGACCTTCAGTCAGTGTAAGCCTGTGTACATCCATTCACTTCAATAGCACTTCAGTGTTCAGCTTCTAAAATAAGTAAGTTTCCTGCTTGTAATTCTCGTAAGACCCATTTTCTTAAAAGATGCATCAGAAACTAACCATTAACAAGGCAGAAAGAAGATTATAACATTAAAGCTTAATTTCCTGAAGTGAGGTTTAAACCTAGAATGATAAAAACTAGCAAAAATGTCCTGCTATCTAGTTACTTAATTTTGATTGCTTTTGGTTGTTAAGAATCCTCATGGTCCTTTATCATGCCAGAATGCAATGTGATGGTTTTAAATAGTTGCATAATCTTACTGAAAGATTCGAAGTGCGTTTAAAGTATACTGCGTTTTAAAGTCTTTCTGTAAAGCACAACTGGTGTCTGTGGGAATGTGCTTGCTGTGACAATAACCTGCATTTCCCAGTGGCTGTGCCAGGCAGTCTCTGTCAGGATGTGTGCTCAGAGCTGAGCTGGCACACAGGCACACAGCCTGGCAGGTATTGGAGATGGTCCTTCCTGGAAGAAGCTGTGGTGGGTGTGTAGGGTGTGGGATACACAGAATTGCCACGGTGTAGCAGATACCTGATCTCAGAAGTACAGAAGGCTTCAGCTTCAAAACTGATAATTTGTTTTCTTTTTAGGTGCATTATATTGTTTCTTAGAATATGGTCTGAAACCATCATCATTCTCAAATCCCAAAATAGCAGTTCTATGCAGCAATAAACACACTTATTTTCCTCTTATTTTAGGATTCAGGGTTACGATTCCACTATGTGGCTGCTGGAGAAAGGGGCAAACCACTCATGTTGCTGCTTCATGGCTTTCCAGAATTCTGGTAAAACTTCCTTCACCTTTTTCTATTATAAAAGAGGCTGCATAAGATACCCAAGGACAAACATCTCTTAAATATCCCCAGTGTGATCGTTTATACGTGTTTATAAATACTAATGGCATGAAGTTTCAGTAGGAAATGAACCATTGAAATATGATTTTAACTGCAGCATCAGCAAAAAAATTCCTTCAGTCTAACACAAACCAACTATCTTTTTTGTACTGTCAATCCATTTTTCCTCAGGTATGTACCCTTTCCTGATGATTTTAAACAAATTTCCTGTTTGGATAGTATTTGTACTATATGGCTAAACTTATGAATTATAGCAGAGAGTGTTAAAATAAGGAGACATTATATGTTAAGTGCAATCTAGATTGCTCCATTTATTAAAAATACTATACATTAATTTTTAACTGGAGGAGGGGAAGAACTATGAGTTCTATAGGCTATTGTGCAGCCTAATTTCAGAATGCTACTCAGGGAAAAAAGTTCTATTATTAGTTCATCACAAGATGAATGATGAATCAAACCCAATCCTAAATGTTTGTTTATAACAATGAAAAGCAGTCATGTGTCCAATGATTTAACCAAATTGCTCAGGCTGTCATTGTCAGATTTAACTAGTGAAGCATGGCTTACAGAACTTGCATGGAAAAAGCAGTAAGGGAATAAGGGAAGTACTAATTCCAGTAATTCAGCAAGGTAAATGATCCTTTTCCTTTCTGAACTCAGCTAAGGGGCTACAGACCATTGCTGGAACTGTGATCTTTCAATCTGTACTCAGGTCTTACCATGCTAAACTGACCCAAGCAGAAGAGAGGTCAGTTCTCTTCCCTCAGCAATTTCTCCTAGGTAATATGCCCTTGAGGGTGATGGGACAGAGTCACATAATGTTAAGTTAAATTTTCAAAGAAGGACATTGTTATAGTAATAAATTGTTGTATAAAATTATTAAAGCTGTAAACTTTGATTGAAAGGACAGTTAGATGGGCCAGTGCATATTCTATAAAAACATTATGCATATCTTGCATAAAGCATATTCTAACACAGGCAATGAGACTACAGCTGATTTTCCCTATGGGGGAATAGTAATGGAGAAATTAGCATTTTATATACATGTTCTACTTAGATCAGATATATTATTTTTTGAAGGCAGAAAGTCATTCTTACAGTTTAGAATAGTGAGTCGTGCTCTAAGTGGCAGCTACTAGATTGTATTGTCTGACCATTCAAAAGGGATGAATAAAAAACCTGCTATGTAGGTCACTGGGACCACAAATAGCATGGGTTCTATCACTGTTTTTAAAAAGAACACTACATACTAATAGTCTGTAAACCAGTCATATTACCAATATTTCTATTAGGTTGTTCACTCAGTGAATACTTTTTCATTCAAGAATAGTGATTGTTCTGAGAGCACAAGATAAATTAACCACAATTTAAGAGAGATGTAAAGCAGCATCAAATTTATATTCTTTGTCTAGGAAAACAGAAAGGATATTATCCACAATTACAGTTCTTAATTTTAACAAATCCTCTGCCTTCAAATGTCTCAAGGTTATAAATAGGACAAATATAACCAGACAATACTGACCACTAACGGCGATAGAGAATGGCTGAAGGTGACAGATCACTAAAGAATGTAATGCACCAGAGCCTATGAGTGGTTTAGATGCATAAGAACTTGAAAATCAATACATTGTGGAAGGTCAGTAATAAAATACTTGAAATTGTACATAATGTGTTGAGGCAGCTGAGTACTTCAAAGTGTGTGAGCTGCTACATTTTATACTACTTGCCTTTTAGAAAGAATGTGATCAGAAAGTCTCAAAATAGTTTCAACCTTATGAACATGGAGGCATTCACATTTCCAAATTCTGCTTGCAAAACAGTTGTCCAGTAGTTATATATCATATGGGACGAAAGGGTTTCTTTGAATATAAAACCTACCCATTTGATAGGTCAGACATTTGGAGACTGATGGACTGTTGTGAAAACAGAGGATGAGAATAGCTTGTAGACATTTTCTGAAAACAAAAATAGTAGATTTATTTATTTATGGGCCTGGTTCTTTCTTCTTACTGAAGTATGTAGAATAGCTGCAACAGTTACCATGGCAAATTCAGCTTTCAAGTCATTATATAACGCCTTTAAAAAATTCATTCCTGGGGATCTCAGCTAAACCTTGTCTTAGCATTAGATAGCACTGAAATGAAAATGTTCTGACTGTTTTGTTTATATGAATACAGATTTGTATCACTCAGTGTTCCTATAACATTATTTAAGTTTGAAGTCCCTAATAGGCTGGAGGCAAAGGTAAAGTGGAAGAGCCCATGGTCTGTTACTGTTTGGATTAAGATGGAATTCTGTGCATCACTCTTGCAACCACCGATGATCCAAACATTGTATATCCTTTATCTGAAACTGTTGAAACAAGCAGAAGTAAAAGCTAGATCCTAGCACAGGGGGATGCAGTCACTGTTATGTATGTCCAGAAGGATCATGTTTTTCATATATCTTTCTATTACAGTGTAAGATAAGGCCATGTCTGTCTTGGTACTGGCTATTCTGAAGTTTATTTGGTTTCAATAACAGCTGAAGGGCAGGCAGTTCTTGCAGGATAAGATCCACCATTAGTTTTTATTTTTCCATCATAAAACACATCTAGTCACTACATACAGAGTGTGAAGTAGCCCAGGCCTTTGCCTGACTTCTTGCCTTTGTATGCCTTTTGATGTATATAATGTTACCACTCTTTTCCATGGAAATACTTTGGATGAAATACTTTGTCTAGTACCAACACACTGAGACAGCTTGCTCTGCAACAGTTCTGGTACAGAGACACAGATGAAAGTGTACACAGGATAAATTCTATAAACTTCATCAAGATCATTTGTTATTAACTGGATTTCTTTCTTTGGTTTATTTAGTGTATGGATAATCTGACATTCTTTTTCTGAATAGAAGAAAAAATGCAAAACATGGCTGCCATAGAGAAGAGAAAGCTTTTCAGACCTTACTTTTTTGATGCTACTATGGCTCCAAGGATAAAACAGAATAGCCCTCAATGTGCTCTGGTTTATGCCTGCTTCCTCTGTAGCAAAGGGACTATGCCAGACTCCAGGAATTGTTGAAAAATCCTGTCTCTGGCTGTGCCCCCTTTCTGGCAGCTGCACTTTGTTATTGGGGAATTCAAGAAATGAGCAAAAGCTACTGCAGCCACAAAGGACCATCAGCACAGCACAGAAAAGAAAAAGAATCTCATAGCAAACAAAGCCATGCAAGTTTACCCTCAAATATTTGTATGCAAAAGCATTGAGTGCATTTTTGGTATCATACTGCTTGACTTTGTAACTCCAACTTTTTTTCCCTTTTGTTAGGTATTCTTGGCGCCATCAACTGCGGGAATTTAAAAGTGAATATCGAGTGGTGGCCCTGGATTTGAGAGGTTATGGAGAAACAGATGCTCCTCCTCACAAAGAAAATTACAAGTTAGATTGCCTGATAGCAGACATAAAGGATATTTTGGAATCTCTAGGTGCGTTATAGAAGAAAACCTACTTGACTCATAAATTACTTGATTTTCTAGGAAAAAAAAACCCACATAAATATCTAGCACTGTTTGGGGTTTTTTTTATATATATGCATTACAGAGGTGCATAGATATAAATCTAAGAATACTAATTTTTTTTTTACAATTATAAATGAAAATAATGTGTATGTCAATATAAGCAATATGTAAAGATAATTTTTCTATCATGAGTTTTGAAAAGAAAATTCCTGTGTGCTGTAAAATCCAGCATTACAAACCTATGGTCTTTTTCCATAAGAAGTCTTTCCTCCTAACCACTTGCACTTAGTGGATAATATTCTGAGTTAGAGTCTTAAAGCACTTGCAGACCAAGAAATTTATATCAGATGACATTCTTCTTGCACAAACAAGGCATAAAAAATATTGTGGGCTTTACAGGGATGATGAGAGTACATCTGCTGTATTGAAAAAAAAATAAATAAGCCCTCCAAAAATACTACTCCTGCACAACAGTCAGTTCTCAAGAGCTGAATCACTCTGTCTTGCACAACAGTGAGAGCAGAAGGGAGAACGAGGGGCATGCTGCTCTCTGTGGCAAATACACAGCGTGAGGAGCTGAAGTGCAAAATTTGCCCCTTCAGTTCAGTTTGAAGAGTCTCTGTTTGGGTGATAAATTGTAACCCCTGGTGAAGGGTATTTTCCTTCCATACCAAGAGCAACACAAGGGATTAGCTTATTTCTGAATTCTCTGAATCATTTTAATTCCCTGGATACCCTAACAAAAGTAAAATAACTTACTGCATTTCATATGAAGAAATAATAAAGCAGTGATGCAGATTCTGAGATTTGAATTTATGATTTGCTTTGCTTGTGATGTTTGAGTATTGGCAAAAGATGGGGCAGAGGCAATCCTCACACAGTGTTGAAATTTTCCGACCTTTGCTGGTTGTGTTAATCTCCATGGTAATGCCATGGTTATGCTTGAGAAGTGCTCTCAGCATAATTCAATTTCAGAGGGATTTAAATTTTTTTTTGAGAAAGCACTTCAGAGCCTTGTTATCTTTGTTTGTCCTAATCCCAAGCTAAATTCTTTTGAAGGACTTGATTATATCAAAAGTGCTCAAAAGATTTTTATCCAAGAAGGTTTATAAGGTTCTTTGACAACTGTGTCCAAATTTATGTCAGAAATCTGAATTTCTTGGCTTTTATATGTTTCATTTGTAGTCTGTGTGCTCAACATTCCAGTCCTCAATGAAGAGGGTGATGGTATCTGACACCATAGTTTGTTGTTTTACAGCAGTGGTTAAAGGAGGGTTAAGCTTTCAAAACATTTGTTCACTGTCCTGCCCATGTTCCTCCTATTGCTGCTAACATAAAATTTTCATTGATGAAAGAATAAGTACGTGAATGTCCAGAACTTTGAAATTTGCCAACAAAACAGCTTATGGAAAAAAGCTATGGGCCTCCTAAGTATATAAATGGGAGTCCTTATATCTGCTATATATATATATGGCTATTAAGTATGATGTCCACTTTTTGCAAAAGGATGGCACTGAGTGCTTAGGTAACCCCTCATATTCAGAGAAATCCATTAGGATTAATTTTGTTCTGGAGGTGCTCAGGAGACTGCTCAGTCTTCTTGTCTGCAGTTTCAAACTCCAAACTCCCATGTTAGGTGTGTTATAATGACTGCAGGCTGAACTGTCCATCTGACCCTGCATTGGCCGAGATGTGAACAGAGCATCCATCTGCATACTGACTATAGTGTGACATGGAGGTGGTATAGTTAAGGTTTAATTAAGTCCAATTAAATACTTTGAAGTGTTTGTAAATTTTTAAACTATGACAATGTCCTGTTTTTTCTGACCGTTAGTAATGGAAGCGGTGCGGTATTCAAGTTACATTAATAAATGTGCTGAACCACCTATTTAGCCCAGTAATGATTTTCTGTTATGTGATAATTTCTGTGGATACTAATTTCTTTGGAATAAAAGTATGTATCTATGTTCATGTGGTAGGATACAACAAGTGTGTGTTGATTGGCCATGACTGGGGAGGAATGATCGCTTGGTTAGTGGCCATATGTTACCCTGAAATGGTAACTAAGCTGATTGTGGTTAATTTCCCTCATCCTTCTGTATTTACAGGTAAGTTTTACAGTAGTCTTTGTTAATCTAAAGTATCTGCATTTTGGTCATGATTGTGTTTGCTTTGAGAACCAACAGCCTCCCTCAGTAGATGAGCTGCCAGTACTCTATGGCTCTCACAGTCTGGGCTGTATTTTATGAAGTGGTAAGATATCAAGTATTTGACTTCTGGAAATAAATTTATTGTAGGAAGTGAAAATGCTTGCAACAAAAGTTACAGATTTTTTTTTTTTAATCCTTGAGGGTCCACAAACATAATTTCCATACACATGAATCTGTTTTGTTCCACTTTATCAGGAAAAAAATTCACGAAAAGAGATGAATATTATATTACACTTTGGTAAAGGCCACACTGTATTATATAATCTGCGTAAGCCTGCCTTTGTATGAATGTGAATCAGACATTAGAATTACATCCCTGTTTAGGTGACAAGTGACAATTTATGGTCTGGTACAATATTCATTAGAAGAAGTCTTTGCAGGCTACATACTAGATGCTGAGGAATATACCAGTACTTTGCCGAAACAGGACTTGTTTCACTATTTGTTGTGTTATAGAGTTGTGTTTGTCTACTACCCAGAATTTCAAAACATTTCATAGTAATTATATCAACATTCAATAATGAAAAGGAAAGACCTACCTCATTAATTTTAATTTTTTCAGTTGCTGGCCTTACCCTATCCCCATTTAAAAAGTTACCCCATTTCCCCATAAATAGCTAAGAATATTCAGCACAGCTTTAATTTTCATTTCAATTGAATGTAAATCTGACCTTACACTGTGGATCAGCCACACCACCCACATTTGTTGTTCTCACAGTGTTCTTGGGCACCTTTCTAAGATACTAAAGAACATTTTGCCAGGTGGTTAATCCACACTTACCTATGGAAAGGTCTGTTCACAACACAAGCAAGCAGCAGCTTTTTGCAGTGTTCTCACTGAGAGCAGGAGCGAGGCTGTAGAGAAGACAATTGCTTTTTATTGTAGTATTTGTTTGCATATTTGTTGAACTACAAAATCTGTTCTGTAGCTTGATGTAGCTTCTCCCTACATCAAACTTACTCTACTGTGGATTAAAAGAAAATAAGCAGTTTATAAATAGTACAGAAAAGTGATTAGTGCTGACAATGGTCCATCAGGAAAAATATAATGGGTAATGCAATTTAATGTATAAGATATGAAAGTTTAGAAGATAGCTAAAACTTCAGTCTATGTTGGCTTAAAACCCATTTTTATTCACTGTCAGAATTAATATTTCAGAGATACGTCCTGTGTTGGGAATGCAGTTTTTACGCTCCTGAATTTGCACCTGTAAAGGAAAAGTTCTAAACTTCCTAGTACCTGCACACATTGTGTGCATGCTTTGAGGAAGATAGGTATTTGAATGTCAGTGTTGGCTCTTGAAACTCACTAGAAATACAGATTTACAATTAAAAAAAAAAACAACAACAGTCAATGCAGGTTTGTTTTATATATATATATATATGTGTGTGTTCTTTTGCTATATATGCTCCTATGTCTTTAAAAATGACCCCAAAAATCTTAAAAAAGTGAATTGATTTAACCTTGATTACAGTTCTTTAAATTGCCAAAACTGTTAGAAAAATTCTATACTTCTATGAACAGGAGTGATGCAATCTTTAGAATGTCAGTGGATTAACATCCACAGATTTTTGTGCATCACATCATTGATGAGAGAAATACCTATTTATGCCTTTTATTCCATATCTGGAAAAAAATGCTTTGGACTAGCTACACAAAGAGATCTCTAAGTGAAAACCTACCATGCAATTAAACTCTCCCATGTTGCTGTCGTCACCTAATCTTTGGCAAATTTTTGTTTTGCTGGCGGTTTCTACTAACATTTATAAAAGAAGTATCTTTTAATGGCCACATCATGTATTTACTCCTGAAACAATAATCATCTTTTCTCACACAGCATACTTTAATGTAATATTTTTAAAACATTCCTTTAAGTTTAAAAAATAGTAATATTAATAATAATTTTGTTTGAGCCATCAGTTTTCATTTGTAATTCATGGACATTTTTGTTTCAGAATACATTCTACGACATCCATCACAATTGATTAAATCTGGTTACTACTTCTTTTTCCAAATGCCATGGTTTCCTGAATTCATGTTTACACTAAATGATTTCAAGGTGAGCAAAATGAATGCTCTTGTTTATGTCTAACTGTGAGTAATGGAAGAATTGCCACCTACATTGATCCCTTCTTATGTAGTTATAATTACTGGAAAAAATATGGAGTTTTCTAATTTTTCTTCTTAAGCTTTATATAAATTAGCATACAAGTATGTAAAGTCTCTGAGATTAACTGTTACTTCTGCATTTCTGGGAGGTGCTGAGGGTTGTACTTTTAACCTCCAGCACTGCAGTGCATTACTCCACCTAGAGAGCCGGCTGCTTTTACTTGTGCCCATAGCAGTGGGACACCATTGGTGCCTGGGAATTCCTGCTGACTTGTCTGAAGTTCCTGTGTGCAGTGGGACATCCTCTTGTCTCTCAGAGCCTGCTGCAGGGCAGGCAGTGTGGGAGTCTGGGCATTGAATTCAGCAGGTGATTAATTCTGCCTGAGAAGCCAAAGCCAGCACTTTGTATAACCTCAAATAAAAGTAGGAGCAGATAGAAAGGGACAGCGCAGCTGCAGGATACATCCTCCTACACACCAACAGCCCCGTGCAGAGCTCCCCGTGCTGCACACACAGGGCACAGCCAGCATGAATCATCCTGCCCTGTCACCTGCTGGGGTCCATCCCAAAAAAACCCATGTGCCTGCACTTGTCTTGCCTGTCACAGCTAGCAGGTCAGGATGCAGGAACTTGGTAACACCGGTATTTCTCTGTACTTGATTGTTCTGGAATAAGTTATGCTAGAGATGTTGACCTTGTGCTTTACACATAGCTCTCTAAAAACTCATTTGAACCATTCATTGTACTTTGAATGTAAATAGACTTATAAATATGCAAAAACAGATTTTAGAAAGATGTGTCCTGTTGAAGGATGGAAATCACATTTTCCAGCTATCTTACATAATAGCTTTTTCTTCTTGCTTTTGTAGGTTCTGAAAAGTTTATTTACCAGCCAGGCCACTGGAATTGGAAGGAAAGGCTGCCGATTAACTGCAGAAGATATTGAAGCTTATCTCTATGTCTTTTCACAACCTGGAGCACTAACAGGACCTATGAACCATTACAGAACTATTTTCAGGTCAGTATAATATTCCCAAACAAAAGAAAATATTCTAGGGAGTCCCCTGGAGCCCAGAAGTGTTACTGCGGCTCCTCTCCTGCTGCTGAACCAGGGGAAAATCCCCAGGTGTGTTCTGTGAGATGTCCACACAAAACAGCAAAACAAGCAGAGTGCACGTAAGGAAAATCTCTGTTTCAAAATCTAATAAAGCAAAGACCCTTCCTCATTCACAGCCCCCATTGCAATCCCAAAAATCCACCTCCAAATAATCTATATATCTACTGAGATGTTATTGATATGAGATAATAATATCTATTGAGATATTATTATTATATAATACTACTAGATGATATGGCATCCAAGAATGTTACCCTCACTAGTAACTTTACAAAACTCTATCTGGTAAATTGTGCTTAGGCTATTTCTGTTTTTCAGAAAGGTGGGAACCTAAAGCTAACCTAACTTGTTTTGGGTTTGGGGTTTTTTTTTCTCCTTTATTGATCTTAGCAGACTCACTTCATAGAGTAAAATAGAGACAGCATCATAATAGGAAATATTTTTTCAAGATGAATATTTATTTTATTCTCTAAAACAGTTTTCTGATGGTTTTAACTTTTCTGAAAGGAGATGGCTTGGTCTTAGAGACTGATACCCCCTTTTTATCTATCAAAACCAGGGCCAGAAGGTCTTAACTCTGCATATATTCTACTTACAGCACTTACTTGAAGGATTGTATCAAGAGTGGCACTGAATTTGTTTTTCCTTTACTGTCTTCAGCAGTGATAAATGTCCTGCATGCTTCTCTAACAAAAGACCAGCTTCCCAATATCCTTTAAAATGGCAATTTTCTTCTTTCCCTAAACTCGGGCACTAGATGTTTGAAATAGATTAATTTTTCGTTTTCCGTGGTCCAAATTTACCGCCACTTTTATTACTCTTTCTGTGCCATCCATGCTGTCACCATCAGGAGAGCAATCAGCAGGGAAAATGCTGTGAGGAAAACAGGGATCTGAGCTGGGTGCTGTCTTGTACAGGCTGAGAGAACTGGAACAGGAAAGCAGAAAGCTAAGCCCAAGCGTGGCTGACCGTGGGGAATAAATGAGGCGGCTGTGCTGGTAACAGGACGCTTATTTAAAGCTGTGCAGGGAGCAGCCGATGACACCAGCTGGGACGTCCAAGGGCCTCGGGGCTGCCTGGCTGCCCAGCGGCTCCCCAGCCCTGCAGCTGCTCTGCAGGAGCCCCGGGCAGGGCTGATGAGCAGCTCAGAGGCGTGAGCGCCCCGAGCGCTGCTCGTTCCATCGGCCACAGCACCTCGCTCCACTGCGTGTGCACATTAACCAGATGCTCCTCTGACAGCAGCAGTGATGTGCCTGTGAGAGCTGAATTGCTCTGGGAGTCACATGGGACAAATGGAAGAGTTGTGAGTGCTTAAACTACTGTTTCAGGCCTTTTCAGACTCAAAAAGAAAGTGTAGTATCAGTTGTAAGTCAGAAGGTATCTTCACAGCTGTTAATTCCTCTGAGTGTTTTGTATCTTTGTGCATTGTTTGCTTTATTCTTCTAATGAAAGTACACCTGCACTGAATTCAGAGAATCTTATTTAGGTGCTATCAGCCACAATGCAGCAGGCTTTGGACTGGAACAAAAAGATCAGTCATTCAGTTCTTGTCATCAGTTCTGATGGTCACGCCTTTGGGGACGGGAATCACTGAATATGAAAACTGGGTTGGAATTTTCCCTTTCTCTCATCTAAGTCATTAAGCAGCACTTGGATGCTAATCACTTGTATTCACCATAACTCCCAGTGGGCTGATACTGGTGACCTACGTGTTAAAGGTTTCCAACTCATTACTATCCACTTGGAGTTTCATTTTTCAGAGCCTGATTTTTCTGGAATGTTATTTCCAAAGAGGTGATTGAAATAACCTACTTCCATCCATCACCAACACATGTTTTTATAAATAGCACTGTGGTCATTCCCTTCACTATATATTAAATACAAACACTCTGAGAATAAATCCATAAACTTTTTCTATCGTGTTTGATTAAGAAGAGATAGGTAAGAAGCTGGAACTTGAATTTCTTCTGTTACACCTTTTGTTTAGCAAATGGGATTAGTTCTCTTAGAACAGTTAAAAAGTGCTGCACTGTTTACAGAAAAGCTGTGTAACAATGCTGTTCGAAGTCTGTTTTTCAAAGACATTAATATTTCATGAATGGAACTTTCTAAATGTGAAATCTGTGCATTAATCGTTATGAAAGGAGATTTCTAGAAACTTCAGGCATAATTATAATTTCCCATATTCCAGACTGAACAGAAATATAGGCAATGAAAAGTGACTGAAAGAGTCTGTAAAAAAAAAAAGCCTGTATAAAGCCTGATCGAGTAATAATAGGTAACTAAGTGAGGCTACAAATCTTGCAAGGCACAATTAAACAACAAACTCTACAGAAGTGAAAAAACACACGTTGATAGTGAAGAGATCCAGGATACTGGATTAAAAGGTAAAGAGGTTAGTGTAAATGCACTGAATCATCATCAGATTGTCAGTTTTTAAAATTGGTACTATGAATAAGCTGTGGTTCAGTGGGTCAGGTCAGGCTGTTTGCAAAATGAGATTTAAATGCACTGGTTAAAAAGGCCCTGTTAAGAATTTTTGTAATTCATCAATCAAAATGAAATGATTATCTGAAGTGATCTTTTATTAACATTTCTTGTCTTTACATGTAAGCAGAGAGGAAGAATGTCTTCAAAGTCTCAATTTCTTTGTCTTACTTTAAACTAAGACATGTCACCTTCTTTGTCTTGCTTTCCTAACTAACTCCTAAGTTTAAAACTAGTACTTACATATGTCATAAAAGTTTATTTAGGAAATCTTTTTTATATATTACTGGTTTTAAAAAGTCCTATTTTTGCATTAATATAATGAAGATTTGTATCTGATCAGATGGAATCTGTGTTGAGTTGTCACAGCTAGTCTGTCACTGTATGTGGCTAAAAGTAGGCAATTCAAACAAATTTTTTAGCATTGTTGAAATGTGCTGGAATTCTGATGGGTCTTTCATTCTAGCTACTTGCATCTTTCATAATGTCTCTAATATGAGGTAATATTTATAAAATACTCATTTTAAATAACTGTATTAAGAAAAAAAAAATTTAAAATTACTGAAAGTTTAAATAGGTCATTTTGACAGAACTTGGAGTCACAGTGGTTTTTTGGTATTGTACAAGACATCATGGAACCTAGAAAGTTTACAATGAGATTCACTTCATTGATTGCAAAGGCTGTGTTGAATGAAATATGTCTTGGTGGTTTTTTATTAAAATGAGACCTAACTAAATGTGGTTTATTTTTAAAGCTGCCTTCCACTGCAGCACCATGAAGTCATCATGCCAACCCTGCTGTTATGGGGAGAAAGAGATGCGTTTATGGAAGTTGAGATGGCAGAAATTACAAGGATTTATGTTAAAAATCATTTCAGATTAACTATTTTGTCGGAAGCCAGTCATTGGCTCCAGCAGGATCAACCTGACATAGTGAACAAGTTGATATGGACCTTTCTTAAGGAAGAGACAAAAAGAAAAAGAGAATGACTGTTTGTACATGTTTTAAGGGGTCTAAATAAAAGCTCTTTGGATTTAAAACCTAATTGTTATCAGGGCCATATTTCCAGCCTGCCTTCTATTTTGAGCTCTGTTAGAGAAAAGTGTTTTCATTGTACTGTACATTTGTACACTAATCGTACAGCTAAAAGAAGTGAGTATGAGAATATATGATACCAACATTGGTTTTACCTGTATACTTGTATTTTGCACATAAAAACACCTGCCTTAAAATACATATGTATTTGTACAGAAAGAAAATCATGGAAAGTTGCTTGGTTTTGTTTTCTCCCTTGCTTTACAGTTTTAATGTGTGGTGCCTTTTACAAATTTATAATGAAACAATGGAGTGGTGCCATACTGAAGAAAGTCACAAGTTTTCATTCTAGATTTGCCTGAATTTTTTTAATGTCTTTTACCATTAAACAGTAATTAACTCTTTTTATCTATATTTTAGCATACTGAACGATTGAAAATTTTCTGGGTACATTTCTAGTCTTCAAGTGAATAATGATCCGTATCTTGTTGTATTGTTGAATGCAGCTGCTTTGTGCAATGTGTTTTTCTTTCTTGACTAAAAAATGGGAAATCTGTACACTCCACATGTCTAAACAAGAACAATGGAAAATTAAGATATAACATGTATCAAATCCACCTCTGTCTAATAAAACTCAACTTACACAACTCCCTTTATTTTATCTGACTTCTTATGGAGAGATATGCTGAAGATAAGAACTGGGCAATAGCTGAAGTGTCTGGTCTGCTGTTCAGCCTGGACACTCACGCTATGATTGTTGTCATTTCTTGAAAATAATGCCTCATTGTTGGCATTATCCTTCCCCTATCAGCAACTTCTGTTCTTGTCTCCAAGAACTGCTGCCAAGTTCCTGTGTTTATAGGAGGAAGAGTGATTATGGACACAAAGGGTAGAATTAACTTGTATGTGATGGCAGGGGAGAATAAAACCGTATGCTAACTACAAAGGGAAAAGCAAAAATACGAGACCACAGAATAGATGTCACCTGCCTATCAGGTTTCCAAAGCCTCCCTCTCCACCTTGTGCACACAGCAAGTGTGGTGCCCTGCAATCAACAAGAGCCCACTGGGGGAGGCATCAGGGCCAGGTGAGCCTGAACCAACTGTGCACACCAGAGTACCAAGAGCTGAGAGATACAGGGGAGCCCCAACACATTCCTGTCACTCAAGATTAGGAACGGCTAAGAAGCATGACAGACTCTCTTGTGAATTGAGAGAGGAGATTGTGAATTGAGGAGAGTGTGGTTTATTACCGCATATCTTTATAGACCGATACGCGAAAGTACAGAAAGGTAAAATTCTTACTGGTTAGTAAATTAACACATTACCTTCATTGGTCAGTGGGGTACACCACCCCTCAACCTTCTCTTGCAAGAAAACAAGAAAGTGACAACACCTGCAAGGCTGTCTTCTATCTCTGAGGATTGTTTTAATTCCGCCTTATGATTTCCCAGACCACTTTCTCAGGAGAGATTGAGAAGGTTATGCAGCCTGCTATTCCACAGGCACTGTGCTCCCTGCTTTCTGCTCACATTTAGCATCCAAAACATCCCGTCTGGGGACACCCCCAGTGCCCCAACACACTGCCTTGTGTGACATCTCTTTGGAGCCACCGTGTCCCGTTCGGGTGCTTGGTGCAGTCTCTGCTCAGTGTAACCCTCGCACGGCAGGACCAAGCGGTGCAGTCTGCCCAGCTGGAGACCTGCTCTCGTCCCCTTCCCCAGACCCCAGAAGAGTCTCCTCAGGATCATGACAATGGTGTTGAATTTGCCTCCTTACATCCACCACTGGTACCTGCCTTTCAAGCACTTTTCCCTGAACACTTTCAGCACTTACCAACTTAAATGGTTATGTGCTTCTCTTACTTACACTATGAGGCTGGAAAGGCTCTCCCTTGTCTCAGCAGGTGGCACAGAGAGGCTTCTATCACCTGTGCAGCAGTTTTGCTTTGGCAAGACAGCCAGTGCTGGGGAGCACGGATTTTCCTGCAGAGCACCGCGGCTGGCTGGAAGCTGCGGCCCGCCCTGCTTCCTTCCCTGCAGCCCCGCAGCCCCGCAGCCCCGCAGCCCCGCAGCCCCGCAGCCCCGCAGCCCCGCAGCCCCGCAGCCCCGCAGCCCCGCAGCCCCGCAGCCCCGCAGCCCCGCAGCCCCGCAGCCCCGCAGCCCCGCAGCCCCGCAGCCCCGCAGCCCCGCAGCCCCGCAGCCCCGCAGCCCCGCAGCCCCGCAGCCCCGCAGCCCCGCAGCCCCGCAGCCCCGCAGCCCCGCAGCCCCGCAGCCCCGCAGCCCCGCAGCCCCGCAGCCCCGCAGCCCCGCAGCCCCGCAGCCCCGCAGCCCCGCAGCCCCGCAGCCCCGCAGCCCCGCAGCCCCGCAGCCCCGCAGCCCCGCAGCCCCGCAGCCCCGCAGCCCCGCAGCCCCGCAGCCCCACAGCCGGGCACAGGGCAGCGGCAGCCGCGGATCGCCGGGCCCCGCACACGAGGGCGCTGCGCTCGAGGCCGCGCCGGGCACGGCCGCGGCGGGACGGCAGGGGGCGCCCTCCCGGCTGCACCGGCGCTCTGCCGGTCGAGGCCCCGCCCCGTCATGGAGGCCCCGCCCATCCTATGCCCCACCCCCGGCAGGGAACCCGGGGTGGGCGTGGCGAGGCCAGCGCCGAGGGCTCTCATTGGCGGAGGGCTCTGCTGGCCCCGCCCCGCAAGCGGCGCGGGGAAGCCGCCGCGTCCCGGCGGGCGCGGGTTCCGCGTCGCTCCGCTCCGGGGCCGGTAACTGCCCGCGTCCTGAGCGCCGTCCCCGTGCTCTCCGTGAGGGCGGCGGCCCGCCGCCAAGGCACCGGCTGCCAGTCCCGTCTGCCGCCGTGCCGGGCGCGGGGCGGAGTGGCGGCCGGCACATGGCGCGCTGCGGCTGCGGCGCGGTGCCGAAGGGCCCCGGCGCGGCGGCGGCGGAGCGGCAGCGGCTGAAGGAGGCGCTGGCCGAGCAGCTCCGGCAGGACCTCGACAGGTGGGCGCGGGGCGGCGGCCGAGCCGGGGGCGGCCCCGGGCGGGGCGGGGACTCCCGGTAACGGTGCCGTCCCGCAGGCTGCTGGCGGAGGGGACCCACTCGGACGTGACCTTCCAAGTAGGCGACGAGGAGGTGCGGCTGCACCGGGCGGTGCTGCTGGCGCGGGCGCCGCTGGTGTGCGAAGGTCTGGCGTGGGGGCAGCTGCAGCTGGACAGCATGGAACCCGCCGAGGTCCGGGAATTCCTGCGGTGAGTGCGCGGCCACGGCACCCCCTTTGTGTCTTGCCTCTTCTTTTTCCCAGTGCCAGCAGCTGTTTTAAAGCTTTTCCCATGCAGAACCCTCACAGCCTTCCTGCTGAGTTTGCAGAAGACTTTTGTGTAACTTCTTTCTTTTCCTCTGCCTTTGTCCTTCTACTGATAGCACATGGCTGTACTCTCCACCTTAGTGTCCTTTTTTGTGGTATGTAAAGAACTTATAATAGAAAAAGAGAAAAAAACAGCAAAAATCCTTTGAGATCATCCATGCCTACTAAAACCCTTTTTAACAAGATTCCCAGATGAAAACAGCAAACAAAACCCACTCTTGGCTCATATTTTAAAAAGTTATGGATATAGGAGTCTAGGAGAACTTCAGCAAGTTGGATGAAAATTCATTAAGTTCAAAACTCATCTCTCAAGTCCTCGTGACCCATGGGCTAAGCCAAACACGGCATAGCTTTGATGCAAACGGAGATCCCAGAGGGAGCTGTGTGGGCTGGCTACTCCCCAGGGACTGGTGCAAGGGCCAGCATGTTTTTGCATTGCCAGCTGTTTTCCCATTGCCACATATGCAACATCTCTCATGTCTTCCTCTAAACCTTAGGTGAGTTACATGAAGGGTGTTGGCTGGTGCTGCCACCAGACCTTGCAATCCTCCTTCTTGTAAGTTCCTCTAATCCTTTTTTCAAAGAACTGCTTTTCTCTAACAAAGCTGTGGTGGTGCCACCTACTTTCCCTAAAAAAGAGTTGGTGTTAGAGCTGATCAGCACTTACAGGAATGCACCAGGAACAAAGTGGTAGAAAGAAATCACTCTGGGATTTCACATGAATTCAGGATGTGCCTAGAAAATGTAGGTACTTGCAGGTTTTTGTGATTGTTGCCAACAGTAATGGGATAGTGTTGGAGTTATCAAGTTTAGTGCTTGAAACACACCCTAATTATGAAAGGAAACTTTCTGAACCCAGAGTCATATCTGAAACATAGAGTCCTTGTAGTGAAGCAGGTTGATTACCAGGCCGCAGCCTGGTAGGAGCATTAGCAAAACAAGTGGTAGAAACAAAACAAAGTGGGTTTTGTCATATTTGTTGTCTGATTCCATTGTTATTGTGATACTAATTTCTTTAAAATTCATGTAAGTGGTGTTATTGAAAAATTTCATGAAGCATGATAATGCAATTTTTTAAAAAATCAAATCAATTTTGAAATAATTATTCTGAATAATTATTTATATACTGTTATATCAGGGGTTTGTATTCTTAATAGTAAGCCCTTAATATGTCACTGATACTTGCTTTCAATTTTGTCTGGGTTTGCTATAAGGCAAGGAATGATATCTGGAGTCCTGCATATTCTCCAAAAAGCATGGTACAGAAAACACCTTTAAACTCAGGTCAACTAATTGTAAACCCTGTGTCTTTTCACAGTGAGTTAAGAATCTTCAGATGAACTTCCTCATATGTTCTAAGCTGTATAGGAAGTGTGCTTTGCAAAATAATTGCTGTTCTTAACTTAGTCTTTGGTGCTTTTTGATACTTAACCTTTGGAATCCTCTAACCTAGCACATTCTGTAGAGATCAGTGCTTACAGAGTGCACTGAAGTTTGACAACAGTGAACTCATTTGCACCAAAGAAAGGATTGTTTGAAAAGAGCCTAATCCATTGTTCAGATGATCGAGTAGTATCAGTGGCTTTTTAATCTCTATGGTTTCTTATTGTTAAGATGCAAATTGATTCGATCTTTTTAAGTGCAGAACAGTGCCTTAAATTAGAGCTTTAGTTTTACCAGAAGCCAGCCTAGTTCTTGGAGCATGTCAACTGCCATGATGAGTTGTTACAGAGATCTGTAGCTGCAGCTGAGCTCCTGAGAGAAAGTTAATGTCTTCGACAAAAGTTCTGGTTTTTTGTATATATGGACAAGTGGAATACTAATAATAGTATTGCAGAGTTCATCAAAGCTATAACAAAATCACATTCCTTTTCCTGTTTGTATTCAGCTTTGCTTTTATTTTCCTGAGTAAAAATTATCTTTCCAGTTGGGATTTGGGGACTTCATTTTCTCACAAGCTATATCTGGCCTGCATCTCAGTGAGGCACACTTCCTTTGGGCCTCTGTCTCCCTTCATCAGGGGACATGAAGTGGGCTACATGTCACTTGTGTGCTGAAGACTGTGCAGCTGCTCTTGCCTCCTCTTTTGAGCAGGAGATAGGACACAGTAAACATCATGCTGATCTTTCTGCATAGCACCAGCATGAAGTAGATGAGCAACTGAGCAGTGCTTTGTTTCCCTCTGTTGCACTATGTGAGGACATCAAGAAGAAATTTCTGGTCACCAGCCGTGCAGCATACCGTAGACACTACGCACCTGCATTTTTGCCTGGTTAATGTAATTTTGACTCTG